TGTTCATGAGCTGCAACTTGGTGACAAACTTGCCGACTTCGTCCCGTCGTTTGCGGAAGCTCGTCGTCGTAGTACGACGAGTCGTCACGAAATCGAAAGACCTCGTAGCTGCCCAACCACGACGGAATTCGACCTTCATGGCATCGGTGAGCACCATGTAAGCAGCAGCCATGTCTGGCCGCCACTTGAAAGCTCGCTTCATGGACTGAGCGTGCGAGGATCTTGCCGAAACATCCTCATGTGCCGTAGACCAATATATAATGCCCTCTGCAGACTGGATCACCTGCTCCTTCGTGACAGCATGTGCATCTAGCTTGTGGTGGCTGGCGAAGTTCACGATGGCCTGTTGCACATCTCGCACACCTTGATCATCGGAGCTTGCTTGCCTAGGTGTTGCGGCCTGCTGCTGCTCGCTGGAGCTGCCATCGGCCTGCGGCTGTTCTGCGGAAGCACCATCGGCCTGCGGCTGTTCCTTGGAAGCACCATCGGCCTGTGGCTGTTCTGCACCGGAAGCACCATCGGCCTGTGGCTGTTCTGCACGGGAAGCACCATCGGCCTGTGGCTGTTCTGCACGGGAAGCACCATTGGCCTGCGGCTGTTCACTTATTGCAAGCGAAGCACCCTCCTGGCACTCATCGTTCACCACCAAAGTTTGGGTATCCACTTGGGAGGGATCTGCAGTGACGAGGGTAGCAGCTTCGTGAATGCCAGCCATGCTAATGGGCGTCCAAGGAATCTAAGGATCACGTGGTTGGCCCGGTTTCGGGCACTACACTATAGAAAGCTTCTCCAGCTCGAGATATTGTAGTGTTTGCGAGAATTAGGATCCTGAGTTCATGTATGGTGTATCCCATGAGAGGAAACTTGTGTATGTGCAGCACGAAAGTAGCTTCAAAGGGCACAAGATACCATCATCGGGACGTCATCGGGGGCTCATCGGGGGGGTCATCGGGCTCATCCTGCCGGACCTCATTCTTATAGCCTCTCTATTCACCACCGGACATCATCGGGTAGCCTCGGGTGCATCATCGGGGGGCTCATCGGGTTGCCTTTCCTACCGGACCTCATTCTTGACTGCTGGCTAAACAACACCGGACCTCATCGCCTTATGTTGGGTTTTGTAGATTCAAGTACTTTAGATCCATATAACTAAAATAGATCCAATTCAGCTGATTTAGATCCAATTTAGCTGATTTAGATCCAATCTAGCTGATTTAGATCCAGTTTAGCTGATTTAGATCCAAATGGGATCCAAATGGCTCGTTGAGCCTGTAGCTCGCTCGGATCCTATTTCCTCGATCGATGTCGGGCGGCAGCAGTGCGGTATTGTTTGTGTGAACACAAGACCAGGCCAGGGGATCCAATCCGGCAGCACGTGCTATGGTCCTACATATATATATATATATACAAGGCCAGTATAAGTATAGCTTATATATGGGAACATATACGACTATATATATACATACACACATATACTGCATATATACATATAGAGAGCTATATGTATATAAATAGTAACCTATATAGAAAACTCGAAAGCCTGAATTCTAGCATCGAGCTAGCTCGGCCGGTGATCATTGAATCCCATGCGTGCAGCCCAGCGAGCACGTCGATCTTTATCATATACGGGCTTCATATGTATATACATATATAAAATATATGCGTATATACATATGTATGTATATATAGCCCATAGAATATATATACATATATGCAGTAAAAGATCGGTATCGGTGCGTCGTCGAGGCTCCTATTCCTAAATAAAATTAAGTGTATATATATATATATATGCCTGCCATTTAGCTAAAATAGATCCAATGTGAGCTTCGTTTAGATCCACTTAGCTATAATTGCTTAGAATAGATCCAATGTGAACTTCGTTTAGATCCACTTAGCTAATTGCTAAAAATAGATCCAATGTGAGGCTCGTTTAGATCCATTCAGTTAATTGAATTTTAATGTACCCGATAGATCCTGCATACACCCTGCTGTAGAGCTCCCTATACACGAACTGTATATTTATTCC